AGTCTCTGAAAACGCACCAGCAAACCGCCCTGAGTGATTCATTCAGGGGTTCCCTGAATTTCCTCCACAGAAAACCATAGCGATGCGTTGTAACCCTATCCTGGGTTTGGGTTACATTATTTATTGTATCGGTTCTAGGTTAGGGTTAGGGTTAAGATCAGGGTTAGGGTTAGGATTAGGGTTAGGGTTAGGATTAGGGTTAGGGTTAGGATTAGGGTTAGGGTTAAGATCAGGGTATTAGCCAAGCACATTGGTTATATTGGGACCCATGTTCTCTATCCTTGGGCCATGAGGTCGCACTTACACACGTGACACAGCAAGTTATTTATGATATTGATAATGTAATGATATTGATAGGGACAAACGTTACATGTAACATTGGCGCGCCGCCGTAGCGTCGCATATCATATCGCACTAGCCACTAGTTGGCACTACTACTACTAGTATTAATTAGATCGACATGCTTGTCCCGATTAGATAGTAGTATGCAACTTGCGTAAGGTTGGACGAGTTCCACCACATAGTTACGAACTTACGTAGTCGAACTTACGAGGCAGGTGAACAAAACTGGAATTGGAAATATGCCAAGTCAACGAGTTCAAGTGACATTGTCTAGTTGACGTAAAAACAGGCCCGTGAGTCTGTGCTTACCTATAATTTTCATTATACGTGCCGCTGAATAAAATAGTTATAATGTATGCACCTACCTAATTTTCTAAATTCCTATTTTCTGTCCTCTGTCTCATCAAATTCGAAACCTATTTTCCTAGTTTCTCAGACATGTTTTGACTGCCGACAGATCGGCTTCGCGGGACAAATGACTTTTTGGATATATTGTATGTGATTGGTTCACTACGATCACATGTATCGTACTACCAGAGGGCACCGCTAGTGTCCGGTTGTTTCCGGAAACGAAAGTATAAAATGGCGGCACCAAAAAGTACTCCAAAAGATGCTCAAGTGATGCAAGCAATTTTAAGAGACATGGCAGTTACTGATTATGAGCCAAGAGTTGTAAATCAAATGCTAGAATTCACATATCGTGAGTTCTTTATTAAAAGTTTGTTAGACAATAGTCTATGTAGCTTATTGACAGTACAAAAAGGGACAAAACGCAGTGGCTACGCGTCCGGAACCGGTCGCCTAGCCTCCAGGCTACGCATCCGGACATCCACTCACACAGTGACAGTGATCGCGCGACTTGCGTACACAGGCACTTGGGCCGTTTCAATAATAAAATGATGGTTAATAAATACAACTTGTCAGTACTACTACTAGACCTACCAGTACCAGTAATACTGAGTATTACTATTAGTATTACTATTAGTATTACTATTACTATTACTATTAGTATTAGTATTACATATAGACCGAATAATTCTGTCGGTCCCATATAACCTTTTTTATATTTTGGTGAGGGTTATATTGGGACAGAACGGGGTTCATTGAAATTTCGTGAGATCGCATGCAAAATGCATGCGCTGTGAGGGGGGAAACTAGGGGGCGTGTTTTTTTACCGTACCACTAATTAATGCGTAAAATCGCCACCACACCATAGCCGGTATTTTGGGTTCTTGTATATATATAAGATAGCCGAGTCGGTATACAGTTAGTGTTGGGTGTGGGACAGGTTGACTGTTTGTACTTGTGTATTGTCTGCAGTGCATGCGTGGCACGGTAAAAATACACGCGCCGGGTGTCCTGGTCGAATGGGAATTCTTGACGATTGATTCCCGCGCTGGCAAACTTTTATTGTGGTGGAATTTAATCGGGGCGGAGGTAATTTAAACGGGGCGCAACGATTGAAACAGGGGGGAGTTTTCCCAAACGGGGCGCGCGCGCCCCGTTTGCGCAACGTAGGGAGAACCCTGATGTCTTAACTATGATCCCTGTGAGTCTTGAGTTCAATGAAGGGCGATAAGCTTAATTAATTCAGAGTGGCTATATGCCCGGCAGCCGGCAAATATCTGGCGGCTGCCGGGCACGGTCTTCAATTTCCTAAATGCCTGGCAGTTTTTAATTTTCAGCGTTATCTACTTATCTCAAGTAAACAAGGGGTAGGGTTTAGATACAATAATGTAACCCAAACACAGGATAGGGTTACAACGTGAGTCTATCCTTTTGTGTGGAGGAACCCCTGAGTGGATCATTCAGGGCGGTTTGCTGGTGTGTTTTCAGAGACTATAACTTCTAAACTGAGTTTATTCTCAACACAAACCTTTCTCTGCTATCCTGGAACTTACTATGTATCACAATACTCTGTATTAAACTAATATAACGTGTTACAAAAATTCGAAGCGACAAGCGGCGATTCTTCCAGCGCCATTTCTGTTGACCTGTGACGTACGCATTCCCAGTGCGCATAGCGTTCGGCTAACTTCGACATGACGTCGCGACTAACAGCAGGCATCCAATGATACATTCGATCTTGGAGTCGAAGTTAGCCGAACGCTATGCGCATTGGGAATGCGTACGTCACAGGTCAACAGAAATGGCGCTGGAAGAATCGCCGCTCGTCGCTTCGAATTTTTGTAACACGTTATATTAGTTTAATACAGAGTATTGTGATACATAGTAAGTTCCAGGATAGCGGAGAAAGGTTCGTGTTGAGAATAAACCCAGTTTGGAAGTTATAGTCTCTGAAAACGCACCAGCAAATGGCTGCAAACCGCCCTGAGTGATTCACTCAGGGGTTCCTCCACACAAAAGGATAGGCTGGCGTTGTAACCCTATCCTGTGTTTGGGTTACATTATTGTATCTAGGTAGGGTTACTCGGTTAGGGTTACGGTTAGGGTTAGGAACTGCCGGGCATTTAGGAAATCGAAGACCGTGCCTGGCTGCCGGGCATATAGCCACAGTGTAATTAATTAGCAAGTATGTAAAATGTGTATTTTCCCAAAATTCGAAGTGACGAGCGGCGAATATACTGAGCGCCATTTCTGTTGACCTGTGACGTACTTCGGTTTGAAGAGCGGATTCACCGACCAATCGGAGGGCGCTGCGTTTGCCGATCACTATGCGCATTG